CCATCAAGATTGGCATTTTTTTCCAACGTGGAATCTTAGTGCCTCATGTGCCATTCGCTGTTCGTGATCTGAGAAGCCTTGAAACTGGCATCCACCAGATCTGGCCTTGCGGTCATGGATATTTCTTTACTCTCCAGCTCTGCCCAGGACCGACTGCACGTACCGCTCGGCCTGGGCATCGTGCGCTAGGCTCCTTCACCTTGTTGGTCGTGGTTGTCCGTCCGCGCGGCGGCGGCTTGCGCTCAAGTGCTACTCATCATCTTCTTGCCATGCTTGCTTTGGTTCTGGTCTCCACCGTGTCCCATCCTCTTGCTTTAGCGCTCAGATGTTGATGGTTGGTGGCTGTCTTCCCAGCAACGGCGCATCCATGACCCTTTGGCAAGAGAAAAAACTACTGTCCGACGGGTGCGGTCCAGGATGATCTGGTCGATGGTGGCCTGCGTACCATGTGGTCCCCGCCTATCGCCTAGAAAGGTGGATGCTAAGAAGCGGATGGCAGCTGGGAGTGCCACGGACGCGTAGGAGGCCAGCATGGCGAGCAGGCTGGACATGAGGCCTGCACGTGGAACATTGGGAACGTCAACCCATTGCGTCGCTCTAGAAAACCAGTACATGGCGCGGACACGTAGTCTAGGCGGAAAATGCACCGTATTGTAAGTTTAGGCACTTGGTTGGTGTATCTTTCAAGTTGTAGCACCAAAGTGACCATCCAGTGCAACTCCAAATTAAACCTTCACCATGCTTACGGGCAACTAGCCCTTAAGATGGACCCACTTGCGAGTTTTGCTAGTTTCCTTCCTCAACCGTTGAACATTTTTTACCTTAATACGAGCCAGCAAATAAGTTCGTGATCTGAGAAGCCTTGAAACTGGCATCCACCAGATCTGGCCTTGCGGCCATGGATATTTCTTTACTCTCTGCTCTTCTATCCAGCTCTTCCCAGGACCGACTGCACGTACCGCTCGGCCTAGGCATCGTGCGCTAGGCTCCTTCACCTTGTTGGTTGTGGTCGTCCGTCCGCGCGGCGGCGGCTTGCGCTCAAGTGCTACTTATCATCTTCTTGCCATGCTTGCTTCGGTTCTGGTCTCCACCGTGTCCCATCCTCTTGCTTCAGCGCTCAGATGTTGATGGTGGCTGTCTTCCCAGCGACGGCGCATCCATGACCCTGTGGCAAGAGAAAAAACTGCTGTCCAATCTTCACACTGCAGACAGAGAAGAGAGAAAGAACTATTTTCGATTTGCTTGTGCACGGGTTTATACAGTTAGGGGGCTGCCTCAACATGTTTCTTCCTAAGGTCGACCTGACAATGTGTAAAAATTCCTAAAGTTGACTTTCATTTCCACATCATGGATGCCCTTATATATGCATAAAGAAACGGACTGCTGCTTCTGGTTAAAGATGTGCGGGCCACATGATATTTGTAATTTACTATGCAGTGGTTATATACTGAGATTGCTGAATTCGTGTTCTCTGTCCAGCAGCTGGAGTAAGAAGCACATATAATGGAAATCTGGCAGCAAGAAACACTGTGAGTCCTCAGAATAACGCTGCAAACATTACCATGCAATATGAGAGGGGTGCACTGTCACCTGAAAGCCAGTTCAGTGGGTCCTCCCTTCAGACTCAAACTTCTGGAGGCTCCAATATTTTGGCATTGGAACCTGCACAGCAGCAGCAACAGGGTTTTGAATTCTCAGCAGTTGGTCAGTCCATGCAGCCTGCAGACCTGGACCCTTTCGATCAATGGTCACAGCCGCAAGAGAACCGTGCGGTTGATGACTACTTGATGGAGGAGATCAGGTTGAGGAGCCATGAGATACTTGAGAATGACGAAATGCAACAGATGCTGCGAATTTTGAATATGGGTGGAGTATCTACCAACATGAATGATGATGGCTTCACTTTTCCGCAGTACATGCAGTCACCTTCCCCGAACTTCAACTTTGAGGTTGACCGCACTCGTCCACCTGGGAAAGCTGTTGTTGGTTGGCTTAAAATCAAGGCAGCTATGAGGTGGGGCATCTTCGTCAGGAAGAAAGCGGCCGAGCGAAGAGCTCAGCTCGTTGAGCTAGATGATGACTAGCAACATGTCTTAAGTTCTTAAATGCTGTCCGTGTAATTGTTTAAGGATCCGTACCGCATGGGCTCAGCAATGCACCATGGGAAGACATTCAGGTCATGAGTTCTTAATCATGGACGAACTCCTGTTTAGTTTATGTTTTTCTTTTTCTGTATAGTTTCACCATTGTCTATGCATTTGTTTGTTTAGCGTGATGTTGATAAGACCCTTTTACCTAAACTGTGTACATTTATTTGTTGCAATCTCAGAAAAGGCATTAAAGTATTCCTATTGTTTTCACGTAAAGTAGAATTGTATCTCCTTTGATTAAGATAAACAAGATAGCCATCTTTTTACAATGCACTGTGTTATAGATAGCATCTTTTTACAATGCACTGTGTTATAGATAGCCACATGTAAATGTTGCGTTGGATCTTGCCATCTACACATGTTTTCTTATGTTTCTCCTTTTGAATTGCATGTTTCGTTATGTAAGACACGGTGACAGCCAAATTTACCATAGACTAATTGACTGCTCATGCTGCCCCGGGCCAACAAATGAATGATTTTGTAAATGATGCTTATTTTACTCCTGATGAAGTGAGCCACAACATAAACACAAGTATCTTCATGCACCCCTCTAGCTGCTCTTTTTTGTTGAACTTGTCGTTCTTCGTCTTCTCTTTTCATACTCTTTCATACACAAGTATCCTCTGGATGTGGTTTATGTGTTGTTTTATTGATTCACTGTACTATGCACTCCGTGCAACGTGAAACACCATCAATGAATAAAGAGATATAATGCACCTCACCTTAATACAAATAATAAAAAAGGGGCATATGGACATGGAAACATTCTTTTCACCACATGTTCATTCACAAACTAACTATGAATAATGCACCACATGGACCAATGACAATAACTCGAGCACGCGCAATTGAAACGGAGGTGAACTCACTCCAACTTGAGAAAGATATGGACATGAATGGGACTTGGTTGCTACCTCACCAAAACATGCTATGTGTCATTAGGTATGAAGATCGACGCCACCAAGCAGTTGCGGGACGCCCCAAAGGAGGAGGAGAAGCACCCTAAGGCATCGAGGAAGAAGAAGGAAGCCAAGAGGAGCAAGACTGCACCTCCCAGGCGACCCCGTGCCCACGGGCCCCAAGACCCTGTGCGCACGGGCTACCCAGGGAGCTGACGCTGTAGCACCCCGTGCGCACGACCGTGTACCGTGCACACAGGACCTGTGCGCACAGGCCCAACTTACCCCGTGCGCACGGGCCCTTCAAGATGAATGGCTGTGAGCTGCTGTTGGGCCTCCACTTCGCCCCCCTCGCTCACCTACCTATATATTCCGTACCTAGGGTCATGTTTAGGGTCAACAAAGTATATGTGAGATATTGATAGGGCCTTGCTCCTTGTACCACTCCTCTTGGAGATCAAGACCTCTTAGGAGAGGATCCCAAGTAGATTTCAGACCTCTTTGGAGAAGACTATCATCAGACCTCACCTACTTAGGAGTGGGAAGAACCTTATCTTTGTACTTGTTTCCTTGGATTGTTCTTGTATGCTTGTTGTATGTGTTTGCTATTCTAGTGGATGTGTAATTGGGTTTTGTTGGAGTGAATTCCTCTTTGTGTTTTTGGTTTCATTCCTTTTCCCCTCCAAGTGTGAAAAGATCCCTCTTAGGGTTTCACCCTACAACATCTTGGTATCATGAGCAAGGTTGATTCACATCTTGGAGTCCCTACCCTCCATATTCTAGCTTGATTTTGTTGTTTCTCGTCCTAATTCAAAAATCCCCACCAAAAATAGCCCCAAAATTTTTCTTGCAATTTGTTAGATATGAGATTTGGTTGATTTGATCCACGAATGCGGTGTTTGACAAGTGGATCTTCCCCTTCCCACAATCCTCCACCCATCTTACCGTTGATTTTGGCCGGATTTTGCAAAACCCCCATGGATCTGAAGGTGTTCTCCCGCTACAGAACACCCCGTGCGCACGGCCCATCGGGACCCCGTGCACACGGGACTCACTTACCCCGTGCGAACGAGCCTTACAAAACTGTTCGACCACTTCCTGTTTTGCTTCCTTTTGCCATTCCATCACCACCATTTGTCTTCCGCAATACTTCTCGTTGGTGTTTGAGCTATTGGGTTGCGGTTACACGTGTCCTAAGGTGTTTCGGCTACTTAGGCACAACTTGACTTCATCATCACCGCCACTCATCATCGGCTCAGACTCCACTTCGACTTCGACAACTCCATCTTCATACCAACCGTAACCAAGGACGGTAACCTCGATGACACCTTTGTATTACCCTTGTCATTACCTTGATAGCCTCGAGCCTCTTTTGCGTCACTTACCCATCGAGACTAGCAAGTTGAGAATTGCGGGCCACACTTTTAGTGCACCTTTAGTGTTACGTCTCTCCCGTGCATATCCTACTTGTTATCTCGCATTCCGGCTCACATATCAAGCATTGTGGCATAGTTAAAAAAGAGCTTATAAGCAAAAGAAAAAGAGAAGCAAGAGCTTGTAAGCAATAGCATTGAGCCACTTTACCTAGTCCATCATCTTGGTTCATACATATATAAGCATACTTGGGATAGTAGACGGCCCGTTTCTCTCTTAGGTTGGTGCACTAGCATATCTAGCCCATTAGAGCAATCGAGCTAGCGTCTCTCTCGTATCCGTACAACAAGAGCATTTATGTGGTTCCACCTCTTAGATCTCATTACTTGGTTGTGCGGATCCCATCTATCTTACGTGTGTGTTCCTAGTAATACCCTTGAGTTTTATCTATTTGTCTTACTTGCGATTTGTGCAGTTTTTCAACTCTTTCGACATCTTGACTAACATTTGCTTGAATTATTTGTGCCACTTACTAACAAGGCTCCTCCATAAGCCTTTTACTTGTAGGTGTGAGAAAACAAAACCCGGTACCAATTCTACTATTATAGCATCACATGGGACCATACTTGATACATCCACAATCTTCGGAAAAGGTAACTTTGGTATTGTTCTCTCACTTTCCTACTCACCACCACTTACACATGATGGATAGGCCTTCTTCTTAGGCGAACCCACTCTTCAAGGAGCAAGATGACGAACACGACTTTGTCACCAAGAATCACTTCTTCATTGCACAAAGAGCTCTACATCAAGAAAGTGAAGCTTTGGGTGATCGCACCAAGCAACTCGCCACTGACCTACGCCAATCGTAAGAATGACAACGAGACTACCTCGACGCCAAGCTCACCACACAAATGGAAGAATTCCACAACATGATCGTGAGCCGCGCGTCTTCCACAACTTCTTCACGAAGACGACGCCACTAAAGTCGCCACTCTTTGTCGTACTCTTCTTTGGATGCAAGTCCCCCTCAAGCTTGTTCTCATCGACAGGACGACCCTCAAGATCGCAAAGCTCAAGAAAATCCATTCCATGGCAATGGCATACAAGACCAAGTTCAAGCACGTGAAAAGGCGCGACGCCAAGAGCAAGAAACCATGGATCAAGGCCAACCACCACCACATCGCCAACGTCAAGCATCTCAAGACGGCGATGCACTTCGGCAAGAGCACCAAAGTCGTGAAGAACAAGCTCAAGCGGCTCAACAAGCACCCTGCAAGTCCACTAGAGCCATTGCCGCACACAGCCGCCTTGTCCGTGAGCAAGAGGAAGACCTTCGTCGAGCATGACAAGAAGAAGGCACCCTAAGTGAAGAGCAACAAGAAAGAAGAAACAGGGCACATATGGCTCGACCCCATCGGCGAGTCCCTCAAGAGGAGCATGAGATTGAAGACATTCCTCCATGACAAGTGCTACACCACCCTCATCCACATGATGAAGAACTATGCTACGACAAGCTCAAGTTCACCATGCCCAAGTCCTCCGGAAGCACCGATCCTGAAGAATATCTCTCATGGGCATTGAAGGTCGACAAGATATTCCGTCTTCACAACTACGACGAAGAAAAGAAGATCGCCATGGCATCCCTCGAGTTTCAAGACTAAGTCCTCATTTGGTGGGAACAAGTGCTCGCAAGACGCCTGGAGAGAGGCTAACCACCCATCACAACTTGGGCACAAATGAAGGATGTCATGAGAGCTTGCTTCGTGCCTACACACTACACCCGAGATATTTTCAAGAAGTTGCAACTCCTCAAGCAAGGCACGAAGATGGTGGAAGAATACTATCAAGATATGGAAATTGCCATGATAAGATCCAATGTCAAGGAAGATGATGAGCATACTATGGCACACTTCTTGGACGACCTCAATCATCGAATCAAGAAGATCACCGACTTCCAAACCTACTCCAACCTTCTCGAGCTAGTTCATCGAGCTACCAAGGCCGAGCGACAAGTACAAGATGACTTCAAATACGCCAAGTACTCGTCCAAGACCTACGTCTCATACACTCAAGCCTCCACAACTTCGACACCTCGTACCTCGACTAGAGCATCATCAAGTACCGGAAACAAGTCAAGTTCCAAGCAAGTGACGCCATCCTCGTATCGTCCTCCGGCAAGCAACTACAAGTCGAAGTCTTCCTCATCATCGGCGCCACCGGATGACCCCATCAAGACAAGTTCTCTCAAGTGCTTCACATGTGGTGGTCGTGGACACAAGTCCTTCCAATGCATCAACTGGCGAACCATGATTGCAAATGATGATGGCATATACGACTCCATGAGTGAAGACGAGATGGAAGTCCTCGAGCCGTCTCCATGCATCGTCGAGTGAATGAAGAGCAAGATGAGCAAGTCTTTTGTGACAATGATTCAAGTCCCGCTCTCGTGGTCTCCAAGGTCTTGACACTTCAACACCAACAAGATGAAGACCAACGGTGTCACATCTTCCACACTAAGGCCGGCATCAACGGGCGTTCCGTGAAAGTCATCATCGATGGAGGAAGTTGCCACAACTTGGCCAGTGACGAGCTTGGTTCCAAGCTACAATTGGTCAAGAAGAAGCATCCTCACCCCTACAAGGTCCAATGACTTAGCGACTTTGGCACCATTCAAGTGGAACACATCATGCAAGTTTCATTCAAGATCGGAGCTTATGAGGACACATTAGAGTGTGATGTGGTTCCCATGTCCGTGTGCCATCTTCTCTTGGGAAGACCCTGACAATTTGACCACGGCGTCATCCACAATGGAAGAACAAACCACTATAGCTTCAAGATGAAGGGAAAGGAGTACGTGCTACGACCTATGTCACTAAGCCAAGTGATCACCGACAAGCAAGCATCCACCCACCATGGAGAGACTAGTGAGAGAGTGAACCACCACAAAGAGAGTGAGAGCCTCAATCCCAAAATGAGTGACTCCACACCAAGAGAGAAGAACTTAGTCCTCCTAGCCGCAAAAAGAGAGATGAGAGAAGTGTGTGAGAAGCCTTCGAGTGTCCTACACTATGTCCTAGTGTGCAAAGATGAGATGATGCAGAGCATCCCAAGGTCATCTCCATGGACCTACCTACATCTCCCATGACACCACTTGGACCAATGACAAGAGCTCGAACAAGGGCTATCGAAGATAAGGTGAACTCGCTCCTCTCCGAACTACCACTCTCCACATATGAGACATGCATGTCTACTACCTCAAGCGGAGACCCTATGCGTGATCAGGTACTTGGAAGTAGGCCATGGAACAACTACACCCAACGGACAAGACGGCCTGGACACCAAGTACAAGGAACGAGAAGAGCAGCAGCCTGGGAGTCTCCAGCCGTCGGACGGCCGACCCCGACCGGACGCCCGACGCCTAAAGTTCCCACCAGCCGGACAAGGCCGAGCTAGAGAATGCTATAGCGGCCGCGTCCGAAGTTCATCGGACGACTGACACCACCCAGGACCCGGAAGCCGAGCCCCACCGGACGACCGACACCACCACACCCGAGCCAAAACATCGGAAGTATGGAGATCTCCGGACAGTCGACAGACCAGACGCTCGACCTTGACTGGACACCCGACAAATCCTGACCAGAGCCAAAACGTTGGACTTCCGACCAGTCCCGGACGTCCGGACCCTCGCCATCGGACGACCGGTGACTATCGGACGTCCGACGCCTGTGTGTTGACAGCGTGCTGGGCCGAAGCCCATGTACCCCTTTGTCCACTTAGACTATAAATAGACCTCCTCCTCTCCTTTCTAGGATCAGCAAAGGATTAGCTCATTTGAGAGATAGAGCTTTGCTCTTCCACTTGGTTACTTCTCCATTGGAGTCCATGGCCTCTTCGGAGAAGATCCCCAAGCGGATTCAAGACCCCATCACGGGAAGACCCCTCAAG